CCCTGTAATTCCATGCATGTAGTTGCAAATGGCAAGATTTCATTCTTTTTGATTGCTGAGTAGTACTTCATTGTGTGTGTATACACACACACACACACCATATCTTCTTTATCCATTCATCCATTGATGGACATTTGGGGTCTTTCCATACTCTGGCTATTGTTGATAGTGTTGCTATATACATTGGGGTGCATGTGCCCCCTTCATACCTATATCCTTTGGGTAAATACCTAGTAGTGCAATTGCTAGGTCATAGGGTAGTTCTATTTTTAATTTTTTGAGGAAGCTCCATACTGTTTTCCAGAGTGGCTGCACCAGTTTGCATTCCCACCAGCAGTGCAAAAGAGATCCTCTTTCTTTGCATCCTCGCCAACATCTGTTGTTGCCTAATGCCTATTGTTGCCATTCTGACTGGTGTGAGGTGGTATGTTATTGTGGTTTTGATTTGTATTTCCCTGATGATGAGTGATGTTGAGTAGTTGTGAATTCCCTTGTTGTGATTTCAGTAATAATTTTCTTTTTTTAAAGATATTTATTTTATTATTATTATTTTTAAATATTTATTTTTGAGAGAGAGCATAAGTGGGGAAGGGGTAGAGAGTGAGAATCCCAAGCAGGTTCCATGTTGACAGCAGCAAGCCTGAAGTGGGGCTTGATCTCACGAACCGCGAGATCATGATCTGAGCTGACGTCAGACACTCAACTGACTGAGCCACCCAGCACTCCTCATTTAAACAGTTTTCATGGCATCTTCACCAGGAGTGAAAAAACCACTTTCTTTGCTCACCCATAAGAAGTGACTCCTTGTCCATTAAAGTTTTGTCATCAGACTGCTGCAATTCAGTCACATCTTCAAACTCTACTTCTCATTCTAATTTTCTTGCTATTTCCATCACATCTGCAGTTCTTCTGTCAGTGAAGTCTCTAATCCCTCAAAATTGTCCATGAAGGTTGGAATCAGCTTCTTCCAAACTCTTGTTGATGTTAATACTTTGTTTTCTTCCCATGAATCATGAATGTTCTTCATGGCATCTAGAATGGTGAATCCTTTCCAGAAGGTTTTCAATTGACTTTGCCTAGATCCATCAGAGGAGTCACTATCTATGGCAGCTCTCACAAGATGTATTTTTTTAATGTTTGTGTATTTATTTTGAGAGGCAGGGAGGGGCAGAAAGAGACAGAGGGTGAGAGAGAATCCAAAGCAGGCTCCACACTGTCAGCACAGAGACTGATAACAGGGCTCGATCTTAGGAACTGTGAGATCATGACCTGAGCTGAAATAAGGAGTCAGCTGCTTAATTGACTGAACCATCTAGGCACCCCACAAAATGTATTTCTTAAATAATAAGACTTGAAAGTCAAAATGACTGCTTGATCCATGGACTGCAGAATGGATTTTGTGTTGGCAGTCATGGAAAAAGCATGAATCTTGTCTAACATCTCCATCAGAACTCTTGGGTGACCAGGTACGTTGTCAATGAGTAGTAATATTTAGATAGGAATCTTTTCTTCTGAGCAGGGGGTCTCAACAGCGGGCTTAAAATATTCAGTAGCCCATGTTGTAAGCAGATGATATAGTGTTGTATAGGCTTTGTTGTTCCATTTTTCGAGTACAGGCAGAGTAGATTTAGCATAATTCTTAAGGGCCCTAGGATTTTCAGAATGGTGGATGAGCATTGTCTTCAACTTAAAGTCACCAGCTGCATCAGCCCCTAATAGAGTCAGTGTGTCCTTTGAAGCTTTGTAGCCAGACATTGACTTATCTCTAGTTATGAAAGTCTTACATCACATCTTCCAATAGAAGACTGTTTTGTGTACACTGAAAATCTGTTGTTTAATGAAGCCACCTTCATTAATTATCTTAGCTTGATCTGAATAATTTGATGCAGCTTCTACATTAGCACCTGCTGCCTCACTTTGCATTTGTATGTTATGGAGACGGCTTCTTTCCTTAAACCTCATGAACCAAACTCTGCTGTCTTCAGACTCTTCTTTTGTAGCTTTCTTACCTCTCTGGGCCTTCACAGAATTGAAGAGAGCCTTGCTCTGGATTAGGCTTTGGCTTAAGGGAATGTTATGGCTGGTTTGATCTTCCATTCAGACCACTGAAACTTTCTTCATATCAGCAATGACACTGTTTTGCTTTCTTCCCATTCATGTGTTCACTGGAGTAGCACTTTTAATTTCCTTTAAGAATTTTTCCTTTGCGGGGCGCCTGGGTGGCGCAGTCGGTTAAGCGTCCGACTTCAGCCAGGTCACGATCTCGCGGTCCGTGAGTTCGAGCCCCGCGTCGGGCTCTGGGCTGATGGCTCAGAGCCTGGAGCCTGTTTCCGATTCTGTGTCTCCCTCTCTCTCTGACCCTCCCCCGTTCATGCTCTGTCTCTCTCTGTCCCAAAAATAAATAAACATTGAAAAAAAAAATTTAAAAAAAAAAAAAAAAAAAAAAAAAAAAAAAAAAAAAAAAGAATTTTTCCTTTGCATTTACAACTTGGCTGTCTGGGGCAAGAAGCCTAGCTTTTGGCCTGTCTCTGCTTTTGGCATGCCTTCCTCACTGAGCTTAATCATTTCTAGCTTTTGATTTAAAGTGAGAAATGTTTGACTCTTTCAATTGAACCCTTATAGAGGCCACTGTAGGGTTATTAATTGTCCTAATATCAATATTGTTGTGTCTCAGGATATAGGGAGGCTCATGGAGAGGGAGAGACATGGGGCGGGGTGGGGGAAGGCTAGTTGGTGAAGCAGTTAGAACATGCAGTGTTTATGGATTAAGTTGGCTATCTTTTATTTCTGTGGTTCATGGCATGCCAACAATTACAATAGCAACATCAAAGATTACTGATCACAGATCATCATAACAAACATAACAATAAAGAAAAAGTTTGAAATATTGTGAGAATTACCAAAATGTGACACAAAGACACAAGTGAGAAAATGCTGTTGGAAAAGTGGTACCTATGAACATGCTTGACAGAGGGCAGCCACACAGCTTCAGTTTGTAAATAGCAAATCATCTGCAATGTGAAGCAAAGCAAAGCATAGTAAAATGAGGAATTTTCATATATTCAAAATAAAATGTTTATTTTTATTTGTTCAGACTTTTGTTGTAAAAATATGTCTTATCATCCTCAAGCTATACCATATTGACTAGTTAGATAGTGCTTGGGCCATAGCTGATAAATATTTTTGTATGGCCCCCCAGTAGCATTGAAGTGATTACTGTAATGAGACAGAATTTAGAGGAGATGCACCTCCCTGTTTTTTTTAAATTTTTTTTTCAACGTTTATTTATTTTTGGGACAGAGAGAGACAGAGCATGAACGGGGGAGGGGCAGAGAGAGAGGGAGACACAGAATCGGAAACAGGCTCCAGGCTCTGAGCCATCAGCCCAGAGCCCGACGCGGGGCTCGAACTCACGGACCGCGAGATCGTGACCTGGCTGAAGTCGGACGCTTAACTGACTGCGCCACCCAGGCGCCCCAATGCACCTCCCTGTTTTAAGAATCTGTTATTTTACTAAAGTTAAATGCAGTTAGCAGAGCAGGTGTTCAAAGGAAAATTCTTATACTTTTAGCTATACATGCTGTATGTATATACAAGGTTGGGACAGAGGAGGAAACCTTTTCTGAGTAATGTTGTGAAGACTGCTAATTGGCAGAGATTCAAATATTACATTGTTTTGTAGAAATTGACAAGCTGGTTCTAAAATTCATAGGAAATGCAAAGGAGCCAGAATAGACAAAACAACTTAAAAAAAATGACAAAGTTGGAGAATGAACACTACCTGATTTTAATACTAATTATAAAGCTGCAATAATCAAGATAGTGTGACATTGGCATTAAAGAGAGACAATGAGGCCAATAGAACAAAGTCTAAAATGGGCCTACAGAGAGGCGCCTGGGTGGCTCAGTCGGTTGGGTGTCTGACTTCAGCTCAGGTCATGATCTCACAGTCCGTGGGTTCGTGCCCCACATCAGACTCTGTGCTGACAGCTCAGAGCCTGGAGCCTGCTTCGGATTCTGTCTCCTTCTCTCTATGTCCCTCCCCTGCTCATGCTCTTTCTTTGTCTCAAAAAGAAATAAAAACATTTAAAAAAATAAATAAAAATGGGCCTACAGATAAATAGACAAGTGATTTTTGTTAAAGATATAAAAGCAATTCAGTGGAAAGAATAGTATTTTTAACAAATGGCATTGGGTAAATTGACTATCCATATGTAAAAAGTGAACTACTATTCATACCTTTACCATATGCAAAAGTTAAGTTGGCTGTGGTTCTAGATGACCCTTCATGGCTTTCAAGAATTTGTCATGAAGACATTTAAAGTGCTTACCTAATACGCTAAGATCTTTCAAAATATTTAGATGGAATACTGTTGCTTACAACTTGTGCATAGAAGTGTATACTTACGGAAAAGGTTTTTTTGGTCAAGCAGTTAAGATATTATAATATGTATCCAGCAATGTATATTATAGCTCAAATGTTTTCTTGGAGAAAATTTTTTTAGTTACATGTTTATATACTTGTAATTCTGGTGTGATTACTACTAAAATCTCATTTATAAGCTTCATTCCTTATGTATAAGATTTTATGTGAAAATAATGTTTTCATTTTGTAAATTAGACTTTGAATTGTATTTTTTGCATTGAAATCCAGTTATTTGAATTTTCATGATAAAGTCTAGCCATTTCACTTTTTAATAACTCTACAGGTTTTTACTTGGCAGATCACTTTATTTTTTGTGTTATTAAAACAAGGAATGACATTGCATCATTTGCTGTTTCTGAATTTTTATATTCAATTATTCTTAAATATCATTGTAATAACATATTTATTTGAAAACCTCTTTTTTGTATTTTCAATTTCTAAACTTTGCTGATTATTGGAAGGAAGCAAAAAGAGCCTTTGGAAGTCAAAAGTAGTACTACAAAGTTTGTGATCTAAAGCTCATGCATTGTAGGGTCATGGCCTTATTGTGGGCTTTTCTGTTTTTTAGCCTCAGACCATATATACTGAGTTACTGGACTTTTCAGTCTAGAGTAGAATACAAAGCTACAAGTTAGAATGGGAATATTCTTAAAAGCAGAGCATTGCTAACAGTAAGAAGTGACAATGACAGACCTGATAGCAAGAGAAGAGACACACACACAAGAATCATAAAAAAGATAAAAGAGTACACTGAAACCAATATAACACTGTATGTTAACTTCACTAGAATTAAAATTAGAAACTCAGTAAAATAAAAAAGGTAAAACAGTTTTTAACTAAGCAATCTATAGCAAAAATCATTGAAATAATAAATATGCCAAATGACTTACAGAACACTGTTTAAGGGGACAGGAAACTATATAGCACATGCTCAATTTCTATAAATTCCTGTAGCCATTTGTCAGTACTTACCTTGCCCTTTCAACAGCTTTTAGCATTATGAATTGCTCCTTTTCCTTGAACCATACTTTATTCTTTTGGCTTCCATGATGCCACATACTTCTGGTCTTCTGTCTCTCTTTCATTGGATGCATTAGCTTCTACCTGGCCTCTAAAGTTTGCACCTACCCAAGGATCCTTTCTGTGTCATTTCATATACTCCCTTAGACAATCTCTTATGTGTACAACTTATGTACCTGTGACTCTCACATTTATAGCTCCTGGGCTAAACTCCAAACCCATGTTTCCAGCTGACTTCTCGACACTCTACTTGAATATTTCAAAGATGTCAAATTCAATATGTCAAAAGTTATTTACAATCATTTTCTTCTCTGCATCCTCAAACCTCATGTCCTCCAGTGTTTATATGTTGATTCATTCACTTATTTACTCATTCTCTTTATTTGTTCATTAATTCAACAAATACGTATTGAGTGCCTAGTAAGATGCAATTCACTGTTTTAGGCACTTGGGAGTTTAGCAGCTAATGTTCCTGTTTTCATGGAGCTTATATTCCAGTGGATAAAGAGAGGCAGCAAAAAAACAAGAAAAACTTCAGTTCATTATTATGTATACTAAGAAAACAAATTGGATGATGTGATAGAGTGTGACTGAGCTGCTGTTGCCTGCCTGGTCAAGGAAGCCTCACTAAAGAGGTGATGTTCTGAATGAGAAGTAAATGACAGGGAGGACCCGACACATGCAGAGGTCTGGCAGAAGGGCATTCAAGAAGAGGAGCAGTTTGTAGAGAGGCCCTGAGCTGAGAATGGATTTGGTGTGCTTGAGCAGAAAGGAGGCTGTTGCCGCTGTAGTGATTTGAGCGTGGCAGGTGGAGATAGTGTTAGGTATGGAGGTTGACAGGGGCCAGACTGTCTAGGACTTGGAACCCCAGGGTAATTAATTTGACTATTTCTGACTGCACTAGAAAACCAACAAAAGGTTTTAAAAGGGCAGAAACACCGTCTGACACAGGGTTTTAGAACGATCTCTCTAATTGATTGGTGGAGAAGGGATTCACTGGAGCAAGACTGGTGTCAAAAAAACGAGTTGGATGCTTTTATGGTAGTCCAGGTGAGAGGTAGTGCCAGCTTAGTAGGAGGATGGCCACAGTGGAGGCAGTGAGAAGATGTTTGGGAGAGAGCCAAGGAAAAGAAGGATGCAAAAATAGTTCTGGTTTTTTACTTGAGCACCCTATTCAGTGGTAGTATCAATAATTGAAATGTGGAAGACTGTGAGGAGGAGCAGGTATGGATGACGGGAGGAGAACTCAGTGGGGAATTACAGTTTGGTTTTGGACATGCTAATTTTGAGATATCTATTAGACATCCAAGTGGAAATGCTAATTAAGAATTAGAATGAGATACAAGAAGTTCAGGGGGAAAATGAGTGCTTGAGATGAGTTTAAATTTATATGTATGAGTAGATGAGAGAAGATACAGATGACAACGAAGAATGGAAGGTCTAGAAGGAAGTCTGGCAGTCCCTGATATTTGGAAATGTAGAAGAGGAGGAACAATAAGCAAAGAACATGGAAAAGAGCATTTAGTGAAGAAAGAGAAAAGTCAGGAAAGTTGGAATAATGGGAGTCCATGAAAGAGGATGTTTTGAGGTAGAAGAGGAAAATCATGTCAAAGGCTGCTGACACTTAGAATAATTATTCACTTTGCAATTTTTTGGCCAAGGGCTTCACATGCTTCTTATTGGGTTTCTGTATTTGGAATACAGTTTATCTCTTGTGTGTTTTACATGGAAACTATGAGGATGGAATAGAGTTGATTTTTGGTAGACTCTTTGAGATCCTTTGAAAAAATATGGAACTAAATTGGGCTATTTAGCTATAACAGCTGCTGATTCTGAGTATTTTGGACACTTGTGGTGGAATATGTCGTATAGATTCCTATTGCTGGTGGGACTTCTGTCAAGTGCTGGCTGGCTTTGGTTTCATGTGCCAGCACTAATTCAGTTATGGAGCCACTTAACTTTCACTAGCAGGCTCAGCCTAACCCAGGCTTCAGAACCAGCTCTGCTCTTAGGCAAGAAAACTGTAAAAGCCATTGTTGAGCTGTAAATATCAAGGCAGCATTGATATTAACTTGTCTTCACCCTGAGGTCTGTGTAAGTGGCTTTGGCTTTGTATCCTACGAAAAAGTCTCGAGTTTGCGTCTTGGTTTTCTACCTGGTATCCTCTGGCTCACTTGGGTCTGGAGTTCTCTTTTGATCTCCTCTGCCTCTGGAAGTACCAGAACCCTGATCCTAAAGGGTAGATTTGCATCTGATCTCTGATACCTGCTCGGCACCCACCTTTTTTCTACTATGAAATCTTGGCCCTATTTATTCCCATCCCACCCCAGAGTTGTTAACTCTTCTTCTTCTTCTTCTTCTTCTTCTTCTTCTTCTTCTTCTTCTTCTTCTTCTTCTTCTTCTTATTTTAATGTTTAGTTTTGAGAGAGAGCGAGAGGGAGAGGAAGAGAGAGAGAGAGAGAGAAAACAAGAGAGAGAGAGAGAGAACAAGCTGGGGAGGGGCAGAGACAGAAGGGGACAGAGGATCTGAAGTGAGCTCTGTGTTGACAGTAGAGAGCACGATGTGGTGCTTGAATTCACGGAACTGTGAGATCGTGACCTGAGCCAAAGTCAGACACTTAACCAACTGAGCCACCCAGGTGCCTGTTCTTAACCCTTCTCCTGAGACTTTCACCTTTCACCCACTGCTGGACTCTCTTAGGTTGTTTTATTTTAGATTTCCCTTTTTTTCCTGATTGCTAGACTTTCCATGTTTACCTTAGGGACACAATTGAATTTTGCTTCAAATCTGGGTCTATATAATTCATATCTAACTCACCCTGTTACTTATTTAACCACATTTCTTAGGATCTTGTCTTCAATTTGGAATGACTTGAAGCGTTAATGGAAGCATTTTTTTTTTCAAAACTGATACTGATCAATGGTATGCAAAGTGGACTGCTTTGAAGAAGAAGGAAGGAATCCACAGATGTTCTTTACTCTAAATAAAGTAGGCATTAGGGAAACACAGATGAGTAAAATGTAGCCTCTTTTCTTGAGGAAATATGTTTTTAAATATAGTCCTACATAGATACTTTACAGCCAGTGAATTCAGCTAGTCACATTGAAAACTATTCCCTGTTTATGTGACCCACGTACTCTATTTTCAGTGGAGCCCTGTGCTCACAAAACATTGCTATTAAAACACTTCAGAAGTAAGACCCAGTTAAAGTATTGAGGACCCCAGTTCTTAGAATAAAGATTGACAAGAGGTTATGTGCATGTGTTCCATAATTATTCTTCTTTACTTAACCTTGATTAATTGCAACATATGCGTGTTTTTCCACATGGAAGGGGCATATTGGAAATATTTAAATTGTTATGGTCGTGCTGTGCTTTTCACAGTTGATTGGAATGCTGCCCGGCATAAACCATCTCATCCTTCCCCCAAACAACTTGTCAGTTGTTTAACCTAGCATAATTTGTTTTTCATGACTATTAGAAATGACAGTGCTAAAATGTTTTACAGGGATAGCTCTGATTTTTTAATACTCTTCTTTTTTTCTCACATTCTTTGATATAAAAATGTATCAACCTTTGCTTCAAATGTTGGCTATTTTCTTTTCTTTTTTAAAAAAATTTTATTTAATTTATTTTTTAAATTTACATCCAAGTTAGCATGTAGTGCAACAATGATTTCAGGAGTAGATTCCTTAATGCCCCTAACCCATTTAGCCCATCCCCCCTCCCACAACCCCTCCAGCAATCCTCTGTTTGTTCTCCATATTTAAGAGTCTCTTATGTTTTGTCCCCCTCCCTGTTTTTATATTATTTTTGTTTCCCTTCCCTTATGTTCATCTGTTTTGTATCTTAAAGTCCTCATATGAGTGAAGTCATATGATATTTGCCTTTCTCTGACTGACTAATTTTGCTTAGCATAATACCCT